CTCATGTTTGCATTTTGCCATAGTAAATTAAACATACTTAAGAGTATATTTCTGTTTGAAGTAGCTGTGGGTTTATGTGTGCGTGAAAATCACACACCTCGGGAGATGCAGAAATGCTTTTGGAAAAGGCATGAAACTTAAAACTCCCTTCTTCCACTCCAAAACTAGGATATAAATATAAGAATGGAGGATACCGAGGTTTTGTTGGTACCTTACTCGGAAACCACGTAGAACAATGGAGCCACTAACACTGTGTGAGACTAACCAACCAGTACCATCCTTTGGGGCCTTTTTGATAATTGGACCGATGACCACATGTAGACTGTTCAACACCCTAACTCAACAATTAGCTAGAATAAAAGTGGAACTGTAACTCACACAATGCCAATCGTCCAGAGTTCAATTGGCATCGACGGAAGCCCAGATGTGGTGGTTAACAGGAACATCCTAGTGGACTGTCTGCTCTATGACAGCTAAAGAACGTTAAACTGGCTTAATTTACACCCTTGTGCAAATTAATTGAAGCAAAAAGAATAATTCCGTTATTATTAACTTTTTCCTTATTTTTCCAATGAAACATGAACCAGTGTACATCTTAGTAGTTCGTATGTCCATTCCACAGAGTCGTTCCTTGCAGATTAACCACAGATTCTCGACTGGATTTAAATCAGGAGAGTTTCCTAGCAAATCGATAGTACTTTGATTTGCTCACTGATAAGGCTTGCCATTGTGTTTGTGCAACATTACAATTTTCGCACACTCCCTTGAAGTAACGTCCATCGCAGACAATGGCCGTAGGACAACTAAACGACAATCGAGACAATAGTGCCTGACTGTGATAAAAAAACTGATGCAATAACAGATGACGCAATATTTTTTAAGGCGAAACAAATTTCGTCATACACCCCGAAAATAGATTCATATTACTGCATACCACTGAAAATGATCTAATCTGAAGAAAAAATAGAAATCTATTACAACCTATCAATCCAGTGCGTCTAAAATTGACTGTATGGTGAAAGAAAGAAAATAAAGCGTTTAACTTTCACAAGGGTTTATATGCGTTTGGCCTCTCCTGCTTTGAATGTCAATGTGATTTAAGCCAATTCTTGCCAATCTGCTTTTGGTCAAGGTGATTGAAGACATTTGGTCGGACACTTCACTGTTCTTGCTCGTAATGCCTCCGTTCGCGTATTCCCAATACACACGTGAAACGTACATTCAGAAATGGGATGATTCATTCATCTATCACTCATGATCCTGATTCGTTCGAACTCCGATAATTCACAACACTCTGCCATGAGTAGTCACACTGACTCACCAGATATCAGAAGACATGATATATAACATTTCCATAAGGTGACGGCGCCTACCAATACCTAATTATACTGCTAACACATTGCTTTTGTATCTGTCTATATTTCTGAGATGAGGCATTATGTACACTATTTACATTATTCGAACTATTGTCTTCATCTTTCTTGCCATATTTATCACAACGTTTCGGCTCTAGTACTTCTTCAGGTGGTTGGGATGTCCGACATTCCAACCATCTTCAGGAAAGACTTTTTTTTCGTTCAACACTTAAAAACGTTGGGATAAACATGGCTATAAAGATGAGGACAAGAGTCGAATAATTAGAAATAAAATGTTTTTTCAAAAAAACAATCAATCTGTCTATATTTCTGAGTTGAGGTATTATGTACAGTATTTATATTATTCGAACTATTGTCCTCATCTTTGTCACCATATTTATCACAACGTTTCGGCCCTTAAGTATCTGTCTATATTTCTGAGATGAAGTATTATGTACACTATTTACATCATTCGGACTATTGTTCTCATCTTTGTTGCCATATTTATCACAACGTTTCAGCCCTTCAGTATCTTTCTATATTTCTGAGATGAGGTATGATGTACACTATTTACATTATTCTGACTATTGTCCTCAACTTTGTCGCCATATTTATTACAACCGTACGGATCTTCAGTATCTGTCTATATTTCTGAGATGAGGTATTATGTACAGTGGATAAAGGCGTTAGTTAGATCCAGTGACAGGACCCAGAGAGTTTGAGTTCAATACCCAGTTAAGATATTGGGGAACTTTCAGAGGGAAATTAACAGGAGATAACTGATAACTAACATCCATTAAACATGGCGCATGGAACTAGAACGGTCTACCCCAGTGAGCGAAATAAAGGGTTCAGTTCGATATTCCAACCACCTGAAGAAGGCCGGAGCGTAAAACGGCCGAAACGTTGTGATAAATATGGCGACAAAGATGAGAATAATAGTCCGAATAATATGAATAGTGTACATTGCATTTGTCACGTCAGTGTATATAAATTATACGCACGCACATAATTTCCTCCCTCGCATCAACACACGTATATATATACAGACACGCATATAACACAAACCTCTACGCGCACGCACACACACACACACACAAACACACACACACACACACACACACACACATACACACACACATGCTAATACCTCCTGAAGAGTGGACGGACAGCTCTGTCTACGAAACACTGGAGTCGTGATGCTGAAGGTAAGATCAATCAGCTCAGTGATTAACATTAATCCTATATATATATATATATATATATATATATATATATATATATATATATACATTATCCTATATATATATATATATATATATATATATATATATATATATGTGTGTGTGTGTGAAAAGTGTATATAAATATAAATAAATATATATATATATAATTATTTATATATTATATGCGCGGTACTTATTAGAAAGCGCTCAATATCAGAGATAGAGCTAACATATTTGGTTGGATAGATGTGAGTTTGTAACCATGGGTTTCACGGTTTATGCGATCGTCAGACAAACTCTGACGATAATAAAGCGTGAAATAAAACAAACTCCATCTATCCAACATATATATATATATATATATATATATATATATATATTGATGCATGTTTTATTTATGTAAGTTCCTTTCATATTGTCTGATCAGTCACACTGATGAGCTGTAATACAGCGAAACAGTCTGTCTTTAGATGATTTATATATATATATATATATATATATATATATATATATATATATATATTACAAATTCAACCAATGGTTTTATATTACCGGTTTGAGAATCCGTTATCCCAAATTCTTCGTACCGGAAACTGTTTTCACATTTTTTGAGGAGGGGATTTTAGAATTTAGGCTATTTAATTTTATATAGCATCTATAAACTGGGGCAGTTTAGGAATGGAACCTAAAAATATATCCTTTGCATTTCATAACACAGTTTATATATATATATATATATATATATATATATATATATATATATATATATATATATATATATCCTAAACTAAATTAGTTTTATGTAAGTAAGATATACCCTGACATATATAGGTAATGATGTTAGATACGTAATGGCTTATAAGGATTTTTAAGCGGACAAATTAAGATTTCACGTAAAAATAATGTTTTGTACTTTCTGTACCTGTAGAAAACATGATTACTACTTATAAAAATATATAAACGCCTGACTTTTTGACATTTCCAATAATATCTTTACTGAGCACGAAACATCAGGTAAGTAATCCACAAACGAAAGTGTTGCTAAAACGATCGCTGACATAAAAACTAGCGCCAACGTACGTTACGTAGCTGGGGTTGAAAACCGCCACCCAAGGCAGATGAGATCAATTATAAAAGATGGACATCATCTAGGAACCTTCTCAGTGCTTTTCTGAAATTTTCAATTTATGGCAAGTCATGTCAACACTTAAAAAACTTTCGGATTTTGGAGGTTTTCGGCTATTGGAATTTCGGATAAAGGATACTCAACCTCTAATAATATTTTTAACTTTGAGTTATTGGTTCTTTTAGATTGTGCCATCGGTCATAGAATAGGTTACGATTATGCCGTTTTTCATGATCTCAAAAAAAAAAAACTTTCGGATTTTGGAGGTTTTCGGCTATTGGAATTTCGGATAAAGGATACTCAACCTCTAATCATACTTTTAACTTTGAGTTATTGGTTCTTTTAGATTGTGCAATCGGTTATAGAATAGGTTATGATTTTGTCGTTTTTCCTGATCTCAAAGACCGATAAGAAGGAAGCAGTTTATATATTAATTCTGTGTAAGTAACACATGCTGTAGTTGATTTTCTCTCCGTCGAGGACAACGTATGTCATCCTCACCGTTTTCCCCACCCTGACCATTTTTTAACTTCGAGAAAATTTTTACCCGTTACAATTGTATCCTTCTTTCATATGATGCTTGCCAGTAAAGTATCTAACCGTTTTTGAATATATTGAGAACTGTTCGAATGGTAGTTGGAATGATGTTTTTTTTGTAAAATGTTTCAATTGGCGGATCGCATAAACATTTTTTACGGTGATCAAACTTGGCCGGTGATCCGTTTAATTTAAAGTCATCCACATTCTGGAAGGTCTTTAAGAAATAATATGATCCGAACATGTCGGAGGTGATGATTCATTAGGATGAGGACATAGAAGAAAATATGAAAATTCGGGAAACTTTCAAGCCATTTTCAATATATCGACTGCCCAATGTTTGTATGTGACACAACAACAATAAAAGCCAGTTTTGTCAACCCCATTCCCCTGAATCCGGGTTGGCGAACTTTGATTATTGCCACCCCTACCACAAAATTAAAATCACTATAGAAATGGATACTGGTTAAGAAAAAATTATCATAAATCTTTATTTTAATTGAATTCTATATTTTCCTTAAGCGTGAGTTCAATACCCGGTTAAGGCAGTGGAGAACTTGGAGAGGGGAATTAACAGGTGATAACTGATAACTGGCATCCATTAGACATGGCACGTGGAACTAAAACAGTCTACCCCGGCGAGCGAAATAAAGGGTTCAGTTCGTTATTTCAATCACCTGAAGAAGGCCGGAGCGTACAACGGCCGAAACGTTGTGATAAATATGGCGACAAAGATGAGGATAATGTAAATAAAGTTCAGAAATGTTTAAAAAAGCGAGGTAGTGTAAAGAAAGAAAGAAAGAAAAAGAAAGAAAAAAAGAAAAGAAAGAAAGAAGAAAGAAAGAAAGAGAAAAAAGAAGGAGAGATAGAAAAAAGAAAGACAGAGAGAGAAAAAAGATAGAAAGAACGCAAGAAGAAAGTAAGAAAGAAAGAAAGAAAGAGAAAAAGAAAGAGAAAAAGAAAGAAAAAAAGAAAGAAAGAAAGAAAGAAAGAAAGAAATAAAGTTAAAAAAAAAGAACGGAAGATAAAAAAGATTTTAAAATGAAAAACAAAAGAAGGAAGCAAAATAAAAAACGACTGAGAATAAGAGCAGAAAGGAAAGAAAACTATAAAAAACTCCAAAAAAAGAAAGTAAGAAAGAAAGAAAGAAAGAAAGAAAGAAAGCGAGAAAGAAAGAAAGAAAAACGGACACAGATTCTTTATTTAAAACCATAACCGGAACAAATTTTAGCGGGAACGTCCCAGTTATGTAACACCGCTCACTAAACATAACTACCGTTTTCCTGTTATGGCAAAAAGGAGTAAAACTAAGAAAAAAGAAAAAAAAAAAAAGAAGCTTATAGAAGGTTATGTAGAGCAGAAAACCGATTTGTTCTTTATTCAAGCGTCAAAAAAGCATGCGTTTTCAGGCGGAGTTGGAATTTCACTCTCCGACTGAAATTCAACGTCGTGTCTTTTAATTCTCTTCTTTCAAAAACCGAATACAATAATTCCAAATGCTTCTACGGATTAGTCATTACGCGTCGTCAATAGCTGTAGACAGTCTCATTCCGAAGATACAGGATTTGACTTTTTCTGGCACTAGGTTCGTTTCGATTTATTTGAGAACATTTTGTCTATCAAGAAAATTATAACTATCTAAGAGTCGAACATTCAGTGACTGTCGTCGATCTTGCAACCCACTCAAGTGCAAATGATGTGAAACGAACTTGACAGGAGACTAAACAACGGATTCCTATGTTAATACTTCCTTGAACACAATAATCTTAACCCCTTCAAGTCAGGGTAAAATCATTATCTTACCTCCTTATCCTCATAACCTATAACCTCCTCTTACATTCATATCATACGCCTCATTTATTAAGAACTCTACTTTGAGTGGCTCTTGAAACTTATATTGAAGGAACTTTAGTTTAAAAAAAAGAAATGAATGCGTCACTGTGTAACAATGACAAAATATCTTTGTATTTTCCTGTCGAAAAAGAGAACATAACATTTATTTTTATAGTACTGCTACGTCTCGTATGTTATTGTAAAACAAAATATCACTCATCCGCCATTTGCATTAACGACATAAACAAACAATCAATGACGCTACTAACCTCATACAGCGAATTGCAAAACTGTTACACTATCAACATTTAAGTCATTAAACTGTCATTACTATCATGAAATTGCACAGATCACACGCACACTATACCTAGTTGTTTGAATGGGCTCCTTAGTTAAACAGCGCTTTGATCTTTGTTTACACTTAGTTAATCAGCAGTTGGGCGCGAAATGTTCTGTAATGTTAATAAAATACTAAATTTGTGTCACTATTTGGTTATTTTATATTAATATCTATTTTAATATGACAAATGTGTTCACCAAATACAGGTTTCAATGGAATATATTTGAAGCAGCCTGCTGGAGTTACGATGTGGAGTACAGTAATTGTTAGGAGTGCTGTCACAACTCGCTAGTAAAGGTTTGCATTTTTATATTTGCCATATAAGTCGACCCCTTGTTTTAGAAATGCTTTTTTAAACTTAAAACCTCGACTTGTACGCCGCAATTGACGATAATACTGTAAAAGACTTATGAGAAAACGGAAAATGATCTTAATAATGTCGGTTCAAATTTTATAAACTCTTGTCCATATGCTTCATATAAGTGGCTGTATGGTTAGAACGTTGGCTTTCAGAGCATGAGTAACCATGTTCGAATCACAGCAAGCTCAATCTGTCAAGGTTTTAATATCGGGCTGGGAGGCACCTTTCGGAAGTAACTGAAAACGATAGCACGTATTGACACATGACTTGTGGGTGAAATTGAGTAGACAAAGATATTCGAAAGCCGATCGATATGTCAATGTTTTAGAATGTACACTAAGAATCTCTTTCTTCCTCATTTTCAATGCATTCCTACAGTAAAATCATTAGCAATGCATTAACCTTATGCATATAATAGCCCTATATATAATACGATTATGATATGGATATGTATATATATTGCATATATTTCATGCCACTTACAACACTATTCTTCTTTATTTTCAATACATTCATAAAGTAAAATCATTATCAATACAGTAAAATTATTAGCAATGCATTTACCTCATGCATATGATAGCCCTATATAGAATAGTATTATGATATATATATGTATATATATTGCTTATATTTCATACCACTTACAACCTTTTTTTCTTCATTTTAAATACATTCATAAAGTAAAATCATTAGCAATGCATTCCTACAGTAAAATCATTAGCAATGAATTTACATATATGTATATGCAATAGTTGCATTTATTCCAAACCACATACAACCCATTTCTTCCTAATTCTCAAAGCTCCGTTTAGAATATTATTATTAGATATGCTACTGTTAGTCAGACAGTGAAAGTGCGTCTGGTAGATTGGTTCGTCTAGTATTCGTCTCCCCCAGTCACACACTTTTGTCCATATATTTCTGTGAGGGTAAAAGAAAGAATGCGAGGATTTGTGCGCATGCTTGTGCGTATTTGGACGCCTGATATATGTATTTTAAAAAAAAGAAAAGATTTTTTCCACTGGTATATGAATAATACGTTAATGGGTAAACATTGAAGGAAACAATCAAGTTGTCATTAAAGAAGTCTATTCCCGTCGCCAGAAAGATGAAGATAAAGAAAAAAGAAATTTTGATAAGAGAGAAAGCAAGCCCATTACAACACTTATATTAATTTTCCGCCATTTTGGTTTTAAAGTGGAACTTATTCTCGACATATGGGCGAGGTTTGAAAACGAGGCACTTACGAAAGTTTTGATTGGCTAATTAGCTAAGAGGTTTCACGCATCAAAGACCACAGAAACACCTGTGTTTTACGTTCCCACACATAAAAATCAAGAAACGAAATAAAGAATTACTTGCTTCGCCATTAAAAATTGTGTTTTGGTCAAAACACGACTTAGAATATTAGTTCATCACTGATTTGGCAAGCGTACATTTACCCAACACGCACACACACACACAACACACACACACACACACACACACACACACATATATATATATATATATATATATATATATATATATATATATACTACATTGTTGAAAAAAAAGTACTCAATGTTAAGTAACAGAGCAATTTGCACAGATCGTGCCAAAATATATATATATATATATATATATATATATATATATATATATATATATATATATATATATATGTACGTACGTAGACGTACATACGATGTTTACATTCATATATATATATATATATATATATATATATATATATATATATATACCCTTGGTGTAAATAAATCAGTGCTCAATGCAAAATAACAATGTTACTAAGTGTATATTAATAAAGATATATAATAAATCCACACCTACAGTACGACTCGGAGTTCCATGCACTATGCAATCATCATGTATAAAAGAACAGGCCGTTAACTGTTTAAATTTCTGGGTCTCGCGATATTCGTTGTATAAATTATTACTATTATTAAAAATCTAATTGTGCTATAATCTAAATTTAAATTTAAGTTCAAATTTTCCTTAAAAATTGCAAATTAAAAATCCAGTTTCAATTCAAAATTTAAGCACCTTAGATCGCTGGGAGTTAAATACAGTATCTATCAAGTGGTGTAGACCAGTTGAAAGCATATAACGATAATAAAAACAATAGCTAAGCAATGATAAAATAATAATACTAGTAATAATATTAATATTATAATAATAAGTAATAGCAGTAATGATAAGAATAGGTAGTAGTAATATTAATGATAGGTAATAATAATAATAATAATAATAATAATAATGATAATAATATTTACAATATTAATATTAATGTCAATAATGTAATAGTAACATTAACAATAGTATATGTAAGGTCCGAATGAGAAAAATATATTAATCTGGGGCAACGTGCTTGAGTAGATATTATGTATATATATATATGATAAAATATATTTTTAAGGTATGCTGTATTTATGAGTGCTAAATACCAGAGATAGAGCGCATGTAGATATAAAAGTGGACATTGAGGTCAGCATCCTGAGGCGACAGTCTGTTTCATGTTAAACGCAATAGTCAAGCTACGTCTTCGTTTAACATAAAACAGATTTTCGCCTCTGGGTGTTGACTTCAATGTCTACATGTAGAATCCCTCATCCGGAATCCCTCATATCCGAAGTACTTCATATGCGGAGTCCCGCATATCCGGACATGATTTTGATGTGTATATTTGAACTTTTTGGGTGATATGTAACTGATTTGAAATTTCTGTTTTCCAGGAAATTTAATTTGGATAATTGCTTATGCTTATCTTACCCTAATGGCGTATATTGGTGCAAAAGATGATGGGAATAAGAGGAAAGGATAACAACGAGATACATCTGCAGCAAGATAGCGATGAGATGCATGATTTTGATGAAACCTGGACTGAAATTGTAAAAGCTATTGAAAAGGTTGTCAGTTTTATGGAAAGAAAGCCAGCATTCAGCTATGACGATTGTAATGACGCATGCAGAGTTAAAAAAGTGTCTTTCGTTTAAAAAAATTCAAGAACAAAAAAACGAAATGCGGAAAAAGTTAAGAATGACATTAGAAGAGAAAGAATTATCATGCAACAGCGATTAAAAAATCCTTCTTACATTATTTGTTTTGCATACGTGGCATATTTAATTTAATGAATTTTCATTAACATTACATAATTTATTTCTTTTTCCTTAAAATCAATTCCGTTATATTCCACTTACCATTAGCTTATTTTGTTTACTA